TCCTAGCACCATTTTCTACATGACGTCCTGCTTTAACCAGACACAAAACCAAACGAGTTCTAGTTTTGAATGGCCTGTGCCAGCCAATAACTGGGACCTCGGCAGTGATGCCCAGGGAGCAAGCAGGGCTCGTCTAGGCTTACCTACATTCAAAATCTGGGGAGCAACAGATGTTCCCATCTTTATCCAGCCCTTTTTTTTTTTAATTCTAAAAATATCAAACCTCTCACTAATTAAAGGAAGTGATTTCACTTTGGGCCACTCCTCCAAAACTGCAGTTAGATGCTGGGAGGATGATGAATGCTGGACTTGAAACCCATGGAATAAAGTAGATTGGCCTGTAATTCAGCTAAATTCAGCCCATTTCACCAACTCCAAAGCAGTGGAACAGATTTAGCAAGTTAAGAGATTAAAATTAGAGGGCTGAATTTTTCTCTGTGCTAATGCCCCTTTACCCCTCTCTGGTGGTGTAAACTGGCTTTATTGTGGCATTGATTTAACTCGATCAGTTAGCTCCTACTTTACATTGAATTTAAACTGGTGGAGTGGTGGTAAGGGACCTAATGTATATGAGAAGCAGGACCCAAAATACTTCTACATGGTTGAATGAAACTCTTTATGATTTCCACCCATTTGGATGTGTGATTGCTTCTCTCAGCATCCCATAACTCTGCTAGAGGTGCGTATCTGGGATCTGCTGCTGAGGTATCAGAAAGTTTTGCAGTCATTAATGTGTCTATCCTTCTGTCACTCCAGTGAGGAAGAGAAGTGCTTTTCTCCTCATTTCGTAGATGGGCAAATGAAAGGCATGGAAAGGTTAAGTGATTGATTTGCCTCAGGTCATAGAGGACATCTGCGGTGGAAGAGGGCTTTAAAAAATGAAACCCCGTCTTTCCTCCCAGTGCATCAGACGCTGTTTCACTGGAGTGTGATCTTGCTCAGAGACATCACTTAGTTCAGAGGAGGCAATGAATCCTGAGAAGCTATCTACCCTGTGACTGATTAAATCTTTCATCAGCTCTCACCTGCCAGAGGCTGGCCCCAAATCCTACCCATGGTAGCACAATGTGCTATTCAATTACTAAAGAGGCGTGGTTATATTTGGACTGAATTTTTCTCTAGGAAGCTCCCCCAGCTTTTTGTACATTGTTCTTTGACTCCGGGGGGTCCTTTGCCCAGTACTGGCTCGTGTTTGTGACATATGAACATGTTGCAGCATTTCTAGTTGTCCCCTTGCACATGTGGTTCGTTTTGATGGAAACTTTCCTTGTGTCAGGGTGCTGCAACGTCATCTGTTCAGACAAGACGGGTACGTTGACGGCCAACGAGATGACGGTCACTCAGCTCGTAACCTCAGATGGATTTCAGGCAGAGGTATGACCAGTCATATTAGGAAGACTTCTCCATTCAAACACCCAAGGGACAACTCTCACTTGTATCACTATGGGCCCAAACAGTTAAAATTGGCCAGCTTTGGGCAAGCCAGGATTGTAGATCAGTCTGGGTATGAGAATTAGCATTCCTGCCCTAGGCTCTATTCTAGCCACTAAAATAAATGACTTGAGTTGCTTAAAGAGTGCAGAAAGCGGGCCTATATTCACAAAAGCCGCTCATGCACTTACCTCCTCAAAGCGAGCATGCTGTACTTGAATGAGCATGTGCACTGAAACGGCATGTGCTTTGCACACACTCCACTCCGCAAATATCAGCATAAATGCAAATGTTGGAATAATGACTTAGTCTTGTCCCCAATCCAAATGCTGCTCTTTGCATTTCTCACAGGAAGATTTATAACGGGGTGACACATTCCTTACACTTCTTTTGCTAGTTAAGGCCTGGTTCTCTGCTGTCTTAATCCACATCATCTTTTATACTAATGCAAAGTAGGCACAAAATGCTGCCCGGTAAAGATAAAGATAAATTTCACTGGCACTCGTCAATAACGCAGCATTCACAATGCAGGACTATGAGCTTGTGTGACATTGTATGTCAGGTGGTAAAATCTATATATGTGCATCTAGCTAAATTCGGGCCCACAGACGGCACTAGAAGCAACCTTTTGAACCCAGGCAGATCAAGACAATTCAAATTAAGGCAATACAAGTCTTCCCTAGGCAGTGTTGAACACTGAATATTATTTGTCCACTTAGCTAGAAATATCGTTACTGGAAAAATGCTAATGATTACAAACCTGCCCAAAGACGCATGGTTGTACAAGGAAAATGTACTGAGAGTCAAACATTTCAGTGAGACATTGGGAAGTATTATTTATACATCTTCCACATTTATTTCCCCCAGGTCAGCGGGGTTGGATACAATGGGAAAGGGAGTGTATGCCTCTTACCATCCAAGGAAGTCTTAAAGGAATTTTCCAATGTCTCCGTAGGAAAGCTAGTAGAGGTAAGTGTAAAGTGTGTGAACCAAGCCATTGTCTTTACATTCAGGTATAATTTAGGATGCTCTCCTTATATGAATGAATGTGACAAACTTGGGAAGAGCAGTATGTCAATCTAATAAATAAATAATGAACATTTCCTTGCTCTCCCAAGGCAAGTCCCAAAGGGGTTTTGTGTAATGATTGTCTCCAGCATAGCCCTGATTGACAGCAGGTGACAATCACAGGTAGTATCTAGGGAGAAGCCTGAATCATTAGCTTGAAGAAATACTTTACAGTTGTAGACAGAAGTTTGTGCACTGGTGATGTGTAAAGAAATGTATTAGGTTTGGGATTTTCAAGTACTTTTTAGAAGGTTGTTGGTTTCCAAACTTCAGCCAGTTAGTTAGGCAGTTTCTCTAGTAGGAGCAAACACATGGGAAGGAATGCAAGTTTTGAAGAGACATCTGTGCAACTTTACACACTCATGAGTTGCATGCTGCTACCAGCTATTTGCTTGTGCAAGTTGAAACACATATAGCGTGGGCTTAGTCCCTACCCCACCCCTCAGATTTGCTTTGTGTTTTAAAGCAATTATCATTAGGGATTGCTTCTCCATGTCTGATTGGCTGAGATGATGCAAAAAGCGGGGGAAAGTTAAAAGACATCATCAAAAATTTTCCAAGATTTGAAATTTCACCAACGCTAAAACATGTTGCCCAATTCTACCAGTACCGAAAGTGGAGCAGCTGATCTCGAGGGAAGGTGCTGCTAGTTTGGACCAAAATCTTCTGACGTGTCTGTGCCAATGATCAGACAAGGTTCTTTGGGTGAATCTGATATCTTTTATTAGACCAACTTAAATAGTTGGAAAACAAGTATTAAGCAGGCTACACCCCTGTGCCATTGATCCACACTCTACCGTCAGCCTTTAGGCAAATCCTGAACATGAGTCTTAACATATCTGGGGTCTGATTGCCACCACATCCTTAATGTAGACTCTACCTGATGTGAATCAAAGGTTGCCCCAGTATGCATATCATTGATCTGCCCTATTCTGGTTGTTCCTCAGTATAATGAAATGTATAGTATTTGATACTGAGAAAATAATGTGTGCGAATGTGTCATTTTTAGGCTGGCTGTATAGCCAATAATGCTATTATTCGAAAAAATATTGTGATGGGTCAGCCAACGGAAGGAGCCCTCGTCGCTCTTGCTATGAAGGTAGGATTTTGAGCATGGGTTTGTCTTTTGCAGATTTCTTCATGTTTGGATCATGATTTATGTCATTAGTAAATTGGCAGATTCCTTATGAGTGCTGTAAAGAGAGAGAGAGAGAATAGGATCCTTTATTATCCCAGAAATTCTCCAAAAAAAGGGGTGGGAGGAGATTAAATGGGGTAAAATTCATAGAACTTTGTCAATTGTAATTAGCAATTGAACAGATGGATTTCAAGACCTTGTCACTGTGTTTTTGATCCTTATTTTAAGTGTCTTCTCTTTTCTACCCCAACTCACATCCATGCATACCTTATGCAGCTGACCAGTACATCCACACATTGTGTTCCCGTGACAAAATAATAACAGCCTTGCCTGATTGCTCTAGGTAATTACTCTGCACAATGGATTTCTTCAGGGTTGAACCAGGCTGGCTTTCAGTTGTCCTGCAAAAAGCAGAAAGAAAATGAACAGGCACCAAACAAATTAGAGGCAACGGCATGGGGTCTTCCTGTAGCTTGATCACCCGTTAGTTTCTGACCTATTTGCCCACAAAAGTGTAAAAACAAGGCATTCTGCTGAATGTCCTATTGATGATCTTGCAAAGAGTGCAGAGATCTGTCCAGAGCCAGGCTTGATTTGTTCAGCTGTACAAACGCTACCACTGTGGCTTGAAAACACAGGAGTTGAGTGAGTGTTCAAGTGCAGTCAGCCAGGATAGCAGGAAACAAGCCCCAGAAGGCAACCTTCAGAATATCACTGTTTCAAGGAAGGGCATGCAGCTCATTTTTCTATTCTACATGATATTCAGCTTGTGTTTAAGTTTCGACTATTCACACTGCACAGCTGAAGGAGGTTTTGGCAATACCTTCCTTTGTCTGCTTCGTTTTCAGGAAACAAATTAACACATATACAGCGATAACTTATTCAGCCCATTATTTGACATCTCCCTCTCCTTTGCAGTGAATTGGGTATGAGATAACAGAAGTACAGGGCGCATCTACACATGCACAGTTACTGCGCAGTAGCTTAGGTTACTGCACAGTAACCAAAAATTACTATGAAGTACAGGCACATGTCTACATGGGCACATCTGTGCTGTATGGTAACTATGGTGACTTATGCCTACTTGGGAGAGTAGTTACTGCGCAATAAGGCAAATGTAGATGCCTTACTGCCCAGTAACCCTATGCATGCGGACTGACTTGGGACTAACTTTAGTCCCAAGTCAGTCTACACACAGTGTTACTGCACTGTAATGCCTGCATGTATAGAGGCTGACAGAAAAACCACTTACTGCGCAGTAACTTACATGCACATGTAGACATGCCCACAGGCTTAGAGTTTAAGAACAATAGCAGGAGTCAAGACATCTTTTTCTTTCTAGCTTGTTCACAGTTCTAGTGGCCTCCATTTTCAGGATGTCCGGTGTATGTCTCAGGGAAGCTATGTTCACAACAGGGTCTTAGATTGGATGCCCACTATGAGCAGACGCTTATGGAATTGAAGGCCTTAATCTTTCTGTGCTTCTTTGTCCTTGGCTATAAAACACACTGTGTAGAAATATGTGCTAATAGACCAATGTTTGTGTATAAAGGGGCCGTGTAGGATGCATGCGAACAGCTGGCTTTGTTCTGGGTTACAACAACCTATTTGTTTCCTTTATTTCAGATGGAATTAAATGATATAAAAGATATTTATGTAAGAAAGAAGGAAATCCCATTTAGCTCCGAACAAAAGTGGATGGCAGTAAAATGTATATTGAAAAATCAGGTATAACCAGTTCTGCTTACTGGTTTTATGTTTCTAATCGCATGTGTGAACAGTCCATTGAATGGAAGTCTCATAGGGATAGGTACAGAAAGTCTTTCATACAGTGGTAGATGGTGTGTTTTAAAATTGTGTCAGGACAATTGGTCAGAAAATGCCAAAACTGCCAATTGCAATGATATTTTACATACAAATTCTAAATATCAGAGAGTAACAGGATGATTTTCAATGGATTTTTTTTTTTTAAGGAAAAAGTCATCCTTCTGGTCAAGCAGCTATAAACTGGTCAATGACATTTTTCATTAAATTTCAGTGGTAATACTATAGCAGCATTTTAAATGGAAATGTAAATCTCCTTTCCCCACTCTCCACCTTGAACTTGAGCATGCACTCACATTATTCCCTAGCTTTAAAAAAAACAGTGCCTTTGCTACCAGATCACCCATGTCTGGGTATATCCCTGTGCAAGGTGGAAAACAATCACAGCATAAACATTGCATTCTCTAAGGGCACCTATACATGTGCAGCGAGGCTGCTTCAACGCACTGTAATTACAGCACATCAGAGCAGACTCGATTAATCAAGTCTGTTGGAGCCTGGTAATTACTGTGCTCCAGCAGACTCCAGCGTCATGTGTATCAGCATCTCTGCACTGAAAAATGGTGGTGGGGGTGCTTTAACTACAGCTTGTTCAATGAGCTTTAGTTAAAGCACCCCTGCCACCTTTTTTCAGCATGGGGACCCTGATGCACAAAGCACTCCAGGTGCTTTAATTTAAGTGTCCCCTCCCCAACTCCCAAAGCATGTTTATAAATGCCCTAAAACACGACCCGATCATTAAAAAAACAAGCATGCCTGTATCTAGGGGGCAAATCATTTAACAGGCAATACTTCTTATATGTTAAAAGGAACAGGAAGAAATTTACTTTATGAAGGGAGCCTTTGAAGAAGTGATTCGCTATTGTACCATGTATAACAGTGGGGGCATCTCGGTGCTACTTACACCACAGCAGAAAGCCATCTATGTCCAGGAGGAGAAAAGAATGGGATCTTTAGGCCTGAGAGGTCAGTGGACCATTAAAACCTACGTGAACACCTGTTCATTTCTCTAGTGAATCATGGAGTAGCTGCAGATAAAGCAGCACCAAACACATCTCTAGTGAATCCTCCTCCCACCCCCTCCTACCTTGACTGATTTATTTCTTCCTTGCCCTGTCTACAATGACTCTCTGCTTGGCTTTAAGAGAGTCCTAACCCCCAGCTTCTTCAGATCTTACATTCAAAATGTGGGCACGAATATTTCAGCCCCTATCAAGGAGAAGAGGTGTTGGGGGTCATCACCATGGCACATGTCAGGTATCCTCAGTCACACCAGTAACTGCTGCCTGACGTCTTTCTATACTCGCCGGCTTTTGCCAAAGGGCTTGTCCTTGTTTTTCTTCTAATCACTCATCGGTGATTTGAATCAGAGAAATGCAGAGGAACCGAAGGTAAAAGCCTGCATGTTCCTCCTCCATGAATGACTTCATTTGTCTGAGATACCGTCTGCCGGTTTCATTAATAAGACAAACCCTGAATGTTGCAGTCACGTCTGCGACCAAGCTTCACCTTCAGAGAAGCTTTATCACCAGCCACCCACAGCATGTTTGGGCTTTGACTTTGGCACCAAATTTGTCATGTGGGGTTGGTTCCATATTTGTAAAAAGAAAGATAGATCTTGCTCCGAGTTTGACTCTTACTTGGCTTCAGCACGTGACTTGCAAAGTGCAGTGGCAGCGCACACGAAGAAGAGCTTGCCCAGTGGTATGAAGCCATCAATTATTCAGTGGGTCTCGATGGCCTGGTGTCATTACCGCTTCTACCTTCCCATGTATATGCCTCCAGCCCCTTTGAACTAACCTGAATGCACAGTATAGATTCACATCTGGAAGCTGATGGGGACTAACTGGGTCTCTGTGATTTCTTTGCTTTCTGTTTAGTCCTTGCCTTGGCTTCAGGTCCAGAACTTGGCAGACTGACATTTTTAGGCCTGGTTGGAATAATTGACCCTCCAAGAGCTGGAGTGAAGGAAGCAGTCCAGGTCCTGTTTGAGTCAGGGGTATTGGTGAAGATGGTGACAGGAGATGCCTTGGAAACGGCTATGGCCATTGGTAATAAATTAGCTATCTTCCCATTGCCTAACTCTCAGACCCATGTCAAATCTGATGTATTTATTGACTTGCATAAAGGTCATTTTGTCCATTTGCTGTCCTTTTCATTTGCTGCAGTCTATATTTTAGTCTCAATGTGGAGTACGCGTGTCGCTTGTCTATTGGAACAAATCTCGCTAAATACTGTGATTAAATAGATATTTATATAAGGCATTATAGCTCTATTTCCCGTACTGTAAAATATGCTGTGGTGGCACTGCCAATGATACTAAAGTTACTTCTTACATGGTGAAATAAATGAGAAATGAATGACATCATTGGGATTTTGGACTCTTACGTTCTATTCAAATGCAAATATCTTGGCATTCCCGCTTACTGGACTTAGGGCTTGCAGTTTGCTATTGGAAATAACTGTGCAATCAGTTGAAAAGAAAGGGCTATAGCCTCAGCTAGCTTCACTTGGAGCAGATTTGCTGAAGTCTAGTGGTGCTTTACTGACTGTCACCATCTGAAGACATGGCCAAAAGGTTTTATACTTAGTTAAGCATGATTATTCTTTCTCTACTGTACATTTGGAGATTAATCCATTGCAGCATATCGAAAGATTTTAGCTGCTTACCTGGCTTTTACCCCAAGAAAAGCATTAGGAGGAGGCTGAACTTGGAAGCATGGCATTTCTGTTCCTTTCTGCACATTATTTGCCTTGCAAAATCAAATTATCCTGGGTGAACATGCACATTCATTTTGGGACCCATTCTGAGCATGTTACTCTGCACTCAAGCAAAACTGCCTTTGAGTGAGGAGGGCGTGATCACCCTGTGTAGACCTGGAGAGGTTTTTTTTGTCTCCAGAGGTGACAGCTCATCATTGTTTGTCCTGAGCCACTTAAAAGGCTGCTTGTTTTGTTGCCAGTGAGAAAATAAGTAGCCTCTCCTGGTGAGGAAGGATGAATTTTAGGCTGGGATTTCATTGCAGGACAGAGCATTGGACTCTGCAATGGGAAGCTGAAAGCCATGTCTGGGGAAGAGCTGGAACAACTGGCAGAGTCAGAGCTATCATCCACAGTCAAACAAGTAAGGGAGTTGCAACCAGTTGCAGAGATGCTGTATCGTTCTAGTTAACGTAGCTCCGTCTTGATATATTTCTCTGTTCTGTCTTCATCCTCCAGGTTTCCATCTTCTTCAGAACCAGTCCAAAGCACAAACTAAAAATCATAAAGGTACAACTTTCCTCCCAACCCTGTGCTTTCAAAGGGGGACCTAGACTTTCTCTCACCCACATCAGCAGAGAGTCCCCTTCTGAACGGGATTGGGCTCCTTGAGAGAGAGAAGTTAAAATAGAGCCATAATTACGCACGCAGCATATTCAAGTATTTCCTGCTCCTCCTGTGGACTCCACGTTGAGTTGTGAGTGCTAAGCATTTCTGCAAATCTAGGCTCTATTGGAATTGAAAATCCGTCTCCTGTGTGCTACACAGATCACTCTGCACAGTTTTGAGCTGCTGAAGTTCATTGTCTTATCTGAGGTGTGCAGCTCCCCTCCTCCTATGAAGCACAAATTGCAAATGGCATACTTGCCACAGGCCTGAGCTTGTTTCTATATAGTTCATAGTTTCATAGTTTTTAGGGACTGGAAGGGACCCATAAGAAGGAGACATCCTTCCGGCTAGGCAGTCATTCATTTTTTCCCTTTACCCAGGCTCTGCAAAAGGCTGGTGCCATTGTGGCCATGACAGGGGATGGGGTAAATGATGCCGTGGCCCTCAAATCTGCCGATATTGGGATTGCAATGGGACAAGCAGGCACCGATGTCAGCAAAGAGGCTGCCAACATGATCCTAGTGGACGACGATTTCTCAACTATCATGTAGGTAGAACGTCAGATGCTTTCCTGACAGCAAATGTCATGTGTGTTTATGTGACCTCGTACTGAGGCTATTTTAAGGGCTGTGTCATAAGGTGGCACAACATACCTTGCAGTCCATGAAGCAATGTCTGTCTGACCTAGCTGCAGATTTGGGCTATGGTTTCTTTGCCATCCCCAAATACAGTGATAACTTGGGTATTTCAAGTGTTTCAACGGGGAGGTTCTCGTGAATCCCATCTTTCACCAAGATAGGTTGGTAGCTGTTAGTGATTTGACGGTGAAGGGGGGAGCTTGAAGGCACAGCAAAGAAGGTGGGGGATCCTGTTCCTTGCTCCATTTGCATCATCCAGGACACAAACAGGAAAGACTCTTGTGCCTTTCAAAGCACAGTGAGTTCCCAAGAACAGAACCAGCTGGCAGAGTGGCAGAACAATTTAAAATGCCACATGGACACGTCTCATCTACTAGTCTTCACAGAGCCCCTTCAGCCAAATGTGGGGAGGAAGGATGGTCTAGTGGTAAAGATGCTAGCCTGAAAACTTGAGGACCCAACTTCCCTGCCCTGCCACTGACATCCCGTATAACCCTGAGCCAGTTACTTACTCCCCCTCCGAGACCCATGGAGCACGTGTGCTTACTGCAAGTTCCCAGTGACCCGTGATTCCTTGGTGCAATTCCTCTGATACCATTGGCACCAACAACATGCTTGGACAATAGATACAGGATGCATGGCCCCTGTCTCATTAGATGTATCCCAAACTAGCATTTGAATTTCCATGAAATAAAGGGTGGGAGAAGGGCATAATGAAGGAGGTTATAGCATTGACTATAAAGTTTCAAAAGTGTTTGCTAGATAGGAAGTAGCATTAGGATCTGTCAGTCTCTACATTCTCATATCTCTTCCTTCCAGGAACGCAATAGAGGAGGGAAAGGGAATATTTTACAATATAAAAAATTTTGTCCGCTTCCAGCTCAGCACGTAAGTACATATCAGCTCTAACTCTAGTGCCGAGCAGCTCTTTGGCTAGCTAGACTCTCTGGAATAATATTCTACTATTCCTACACTATGTCCTTTGCAGGAGCATTTCAGCTTTGAGCTTAATTACTCTGTCAACAGTATTCAATTTACCAAATCCACTCAACGCCATGCAGATCTTATGGATCAATATCATTATGGATGGACCTCCGGCTCAAAGGTAATGAAAAACACGTAGGGGCAAAAGTAGTCTTGCAGTACATGCATGCAATTAAATTGACTTTCATGGTGGTAAGAAAGTTGAATTTGATCTTAAAATTGTAGAAGCTGTCTTGATTCTCTAAAGAAGTGTAAATCTTTTTAGGGATCTGTTGACCTTCAATAATTTTTTTCCCAACTCTGCTTGTTCTCATTACTGGCTTTATTGCATATACTTTATAGTTTCTTATATAACAAGTTTTAATTACTTTTGAAAGGTTTGATTATGGTTGAGAGTCTTAATTATGTTATATTTAGGACAAATACAAAGTAGAAGTTAATCAGATTCTTCAGATCACATTTCTGAATGATATTGCAAATGCAAATAACCAGTTTAATAGCTACCTGGCTACAAGTCTATGTACCATTTGGCATCTAATGCAAATGTGTATGCAAAATCCTAAGCATTTGAACCTATTATGCTTAGTGGGCTGAAAGGGTAATGGGTGCTGAACTGGTTTATTGTTCCCAACGCATCTACTGTGATTGTTACCAAGCTCCCTATGCCTAGTCCCAGCCCTTCCTAAACTCTCCAAAAGGATCTACCCCAAGACCTGAGCTTCTACTGTATGTCTGTCTTGGGGTTGAATCTCCAAATTCTTCCACTCTTGGAATAAAATAATCCCAACACAGCTCTCCTGCATTCATTGCATTCCTGCCACACAACTGAGGCAAAATGGCATTGCATTAGAGCAAGCACTAATGATCCTAAAGCTTTGTCTCTCCAGTGAGCAATGGATTCAGTCCCCTAGGATTCTGGCTCCATTCCACAGCGGGGGGTGGAAAGTGAAGCAAATGAACTGGTCTGTATTAATTACATGTGATTTGTGTTTGAGACAGCTTGGGAGTCGAACCAGTTGATAAAGATGCCATCAAACACCCTCCCCGGAGTATTACAGGCACAATACTCAGCAGGGTGCTCATCCTGAAAATCTTCATGTCTGCTATCATCATCATCAGTGGAACCCTCTTTGTCTTTTGGAAAGAGGTGAGAAATACCTCTAGTCCATCCTGTTTTCACTGGCACCGAGAACTAATATATATCTATATCTAGGATAGCTAGCTTGCTAGAATTAACATTGAGAACAATTGTCTAGGAAGGTAGGGTATTCAGTAAAGAGCACTCGGTCAGGGCTGCATGTCAGGACACCTGGGTTGGACTCTCAAATCAACCACTAATGTGCTTTCTCCACCTCTTAAATACCGATTTTTCCCATCTATAATAGAAAGATAATCATCGTTAAAGTAATCACAGGTTCTTAGATATCTGGAGGTCAAAAGCACCCTGTAAGCATTTTGAATTCCTATTTTTAAACCAGTATTGCTGAAGGGTTTTAGCTTCTGACTTTATACCATAAAGTTCAACTATCATGTAATAATATAAATTTTTTTGCCTGCTTTCTCAGCTGCATGCAAAGCCAGGCAAGTAAATATATAGTGAATTTATACATTTTTATTGTATACATGATTATTAAACTGGCAGAATTATCTCTGCATCAGATTGCCACAAACCACCCCGTGCGGCACTTGTTATACCTTTTAAAGCTGGGGATGTGTCACTCTACAAATTAATCCTAATGTCCATGTTCGGTAATAAGATTAAATGAGATTACTGAGAAAATTTAAAAATACAACACATGATCCTTAAATGGATTTAAGATGCTGGGTTCAGAGCACATGCTATCTGTAAAATACTTCAGTAGTCCTTTGCTAATTGGATGGAACTAATTAGCAAATTGCCTTGATCTTTGATCAGAATTCACCCACTTGGCTAAGAATTTAAGAGATGAAATGATTTGATTGTAAGCAGAGTGCTGGCTTGGATTGCAAGCTGATTGTGACTTTAAACAGCGGTGGTTACAGACTGCGCTCACAGATTCATATTCATAGACATCAGGGCTGGAAGGGACTTGGGAAGATCATCGAGTCCAGCCCCCGCCCCGGGGGCAGGAAGTCAGCTGGGGTCATAGGATCCCAGCAAGATAAAAATCCAAATGTTCTGTGAGTGCATTTTTGCATGGCTCCAAAGGCTATTTTTAACGAGTCTTCATTTCACATGTTTCCAGAATCCCGAAAGTGGCATAACCCCCCGAACCACAACAATGACGTTCACTTGTTTTGTGTTTTTTGATCTCTTCAATGCCTTGACGTGCCGGTCTCAGGTGAGGTGATGGACACCTGGCAACCTTTTGGGTCTTTAGTTGGGAGCTGAAATGCATGCTTGACCTTCCTGCTAAGACAAACTATTCAGATACAGGGAAGGGACTCATTTCTTTGACTAATTTGGAGGAGCTCTATTTTGGTCATGCGATCAAAAAAAGGAACCAGCTTTGCTTAATTATGACAACGGCCACGTGTAACGAATGGACACCAAAGCTGCGCCTGTCCAAATGATGATTAATGTTGCAAAGCACTGTTGAGTTCACCTGTGGGCAGACACTGGGAAATGTTTACATTTTTTTCCTTTTTTTCCAGACAAAGTTGATATTTGAGGTAGGATTTTTCCGGAATCGTATGTTCTTGTACTCCGTCCTGGGGTCACTTCTAGGGCAAATGGCTGTGGTGTACGTTCCTCCCTTACAAAAGATCTTCCAAACAGAGAGTTTAGGAGCATTAGGTAAGTTCGTAAGGCAACAGTGACATTATATATTTAACTGCTTAAGATGACTGTGAGATTTGCTAAAGTGGATTTGACTGCTGAGGGCATGTCAACTAGGGAGCGCTGTCCTGAAGTGCTCCACACAAGCTACAGCACAAACTCAAATGAGTGTGGCCAGGTTAGCACACTACTGAGCATGTGTTGTAATGATCTCCCCTAAAAGGCAGAGCTTATGGCCACATGTCGGTTCTGGACACAAGGACGCGTCTACACATTCATGAATGCAGCTTAGATAGAGTGCATTTAGTTTAGTACTTGCTTAATAAAGTACTAAACTAAATGTGCAGTAACTAGAGTTACTGTGCAGTAGTGCCGGAGCACAGTTATTTTGTGATGCTTACTGTGCATTAGCCTATTAACACTGTGCAGTATGCTATTAGCACGGTTTTTAACCGCCACTTTACTGCACAGCGTTATTAGGCTAATGCGCAGTAAGTGTCTCATGTAGACGCGCCCCAGATGTGTCAGGTGTCATAGTGCAATGCCCCATCCTGTCACATTGAGTTTGTAGAGATGCGCCCTGAGCTACTTAATACAGGTCCGGCCACTATGTGATAGCTCAGAAGAAGGGGAGAAAAAATGAATAAAAATGTAGTCAGCCTGCTGTCATGTACACTGGTGGAGGTGGAAATTCTTCCTTATAGGTCAGTTTGACTTGATTTTTTAAACCAAATGCAAATGTTAGTGTTAATTGTATTATGAGTCACTTCCTCCTATTATCCAGGCTAAATATGACAGCATGAGTATATAAAGTGTTTCTTTGTGGTTAGTATGTTGACTTCTGTCTTCATTAAAGAAACTGAACTAATGGATAGTTGCACCATTACGATACCCTATTGTTAGACAGTGTGCTTCTTCGATTTGGTGTATGGCTTGCTGTCAGATCAAGTCACAGCAATATGAGCCATGCTTTTCGTCAGTGTGTTGTATCAATATTGGGAGGCTGTGCATGCATCCATGTAGTGACATGTAGAGTTGTAAGTGCATCCATGTATTGACATCTTTACAAATTTCTCTAATGGAGTCGGGGCCTTACTTGAGTGCTCTTCCAAGCACAAAATCCATCTGACCCACTGGGTTGCACTCTGTCCCCTGCTCTATTGACAGATCTGTTGTTTCTCGCCGGATTGGCTTCCTCGGTTTTTATTGTGTCTGAGCTCATCAAGTTGTGCGAAAAACGCTGCTGCAGAACAAAGCAAGTGAGGAGTCACCCTGAGGTGTGATGGACAAGAGACTTCTATGAAGAACGTCCTTTGAACAAAGCTGTGACATTTTGTAATCCAGACGTGTCAGTTTGTGCCTATGCAAATCCCTTTTTGGATACCTCGTCCCTGGATAGGCCTTCCCACACCAGATTACATTCCTGTCCTGTTCTTCACCAACGGCATTTCAGCTTTCCATAGGAGGCTTCCAAGCTGCCACCGGGCACCCAGCATTATGTATATTTTCATAACATATTGATCTGTATTGTTTTATCTGAGACAATCACTCTGGGTCACGTGGCTATGCACCCGGTCTGAAAAATCAACTATGCATAAACGGAAGTTTATTTATTTAAATCACAAGGACTTTTATTAATAAAATCGCGTTTCCAATGTTTTAAACACGACGTTTCTGAGTAGATCTCAGACTGGCCTTGTTAAAAACAGAGGTTAACGCTTAAATAACAGCCAGTTATTTTCTCTTTGCTTCCATGAAACCTTATCCTATCTCCTACAGTGAATGTTTATGGTGTGTGGAGCCCAGATCAGCTGGCCTTAAGAAAATGCTGTTCATTCAGTTGGGTGTCTAGAGACCTGAAATGGGGGTTGTGCTTGCTTTGCCCTCCACCGCTGAGCAGTCTCCCTAGTTTCCCTCCAGGTGAAAAAATGCTTCTGTTCCCGAGGCAAAGAAAGTGGTGGTGCAGCCTTCATCCCACCGGGGCATGATTACATCCTGCTGACTCCCAACTGGGGGGGTTGATAGTCGGTGTAATAACTTGTTCCCAACGGGGCTCTGAAGTGGGAAAGCACAGGCTCACTATGGCCTGGCTTGGCTGAGTCATGTCTGCCTCCATCATACACAATCATCATGGATGTCTCTCTTACACACATTGCATTTGGTAAGAGATTTAGGGCCCATTGCCACTGAATGCCATGGGGAAATTCTTACAAGTGCAGGGCTTTGCTCTGCAGGCAGGTTCCCAAATGAACTGCAGAGGCAACAGAGGATGTCTATGTAGCGTCAGCTGTGGGACCAACCTGGATCGCCGTAATGAACTGACAAGCCAGGGGCACAGCGGTGAGCTGAATCCAGACAGCATGCATGTAAAGAGCATAATGCCTGTGAAAATGAGCTGGGATAAGCTTTGCCAATGGAGTACTAACTACCTGAAAGTATGTAAGAGATGCTTTTAGGAGAAATGGAGTCCCAGCTACTGATGGAAATCTTGCTCGAACCTTCTTGTGCATAATTTTGCAGAGCTAGCTGCTCAGTCATTTCAAATCCTTTTCCGCTCAGCTAACTTCACCATGTGGAAATGTTAGGCACAAAGCTGCAAACTCCCCAACCCCGTCAATGGCTTAGCCTGGTTTTCACAAACTTTCCCACCCCTTAAAGCTTCTTGAGCAGAAAAGCTGCTTGGGGCTAAAGACAGCAGATGAAATCCATATGAGACTTAGGCACCTCGCTGCCTTTCTTCACTTCCTAAGTCCGATATTTAAAGATTGCACAACTCTGCTCAGCAACAGCCTAACCCTGTGTATCCCTAAAGCCTTTGGGACCCCAAATTTGACAGCCCTATATAGATGCTTCTGAGCTTCTTGAAGCTCCTTTTTTCCTGTATATGATCTGATTTAGGGATAAAAAGTCTATAGCTTGATTCTTCATAAACTGCAGAACTTCACAGGAGTGAAGCGGCTATGCTGAGGTGCATTAGCCGACGATCAGGTTCAAAGCCTTGACAAAAGCTGCCCAACACTGATCTTTTGTGTGCTGCCACAGAGCAGTTCAGAGGAACATAAATCAGCTCTTCAAATCCTAAGTGTGAAGGTAAAGAACATTTCTGCAATTTACTGAACAGTTTTAAAAAAAGCCAGTAACTCCCATAACCATTGTTTGGTAGCATCAACCTCTAATTGTTCGTGCAGATCATTAAATATTAACAACTTCTTTGTGAATCTTGGGTTTTTAAATAAATTATAGCCTGCTTAGAAAGAGAAGTCTGTGGCTCAGGTTAGACAATGGCCCCCATGCCCCTGGAAACACACTCAAATAGAGAAGTTGCATGATACCTTTTTCCAAGAGATGCAGCGACCTTTCTTCTCTGTCTCAGTCCATTTTGACAGCACATGAGCCCTTGTTGTGTAGAAGCTACTGAACTGCATTAGTAGGAGCACTGCCAGCAAATCAAGGGCCATGATTCTTGCCCTCTATTCTGCACTGGAGAGGCCACATTTGGAGTCCAGTGTCCAGTTTTGGGATCCCCACTACAGAAAGGATGTGGACAAGTTGGAGAGAGTCCAGCAGAGGGCAACAAAGTTGGTTCGGGGACTGTGGTGCATGACTCCTGAGAAGAGGCTAAGGAAACTGGGCTGATTTAGTCTGGAGAAGAGAAGACGGAGGGGATTTAATAGCAGCCTTCAACTCACTGCAGGGGGGCTGCAAAGAGGATTGAGCTGGACTGTTCTCAGTGGGGGCAAATGACAGGACAAGGAGTAATGGGCTCAATTTGCAGCACGGGAAGTTGAGGTGAGATATTAGGAAAACTCCCTCACTAGGGGTGTAGTAAAGTACTGGAACAGGTTACCCAGAGAGACGGTGGACTCTGCATCTTTGAAGCTTTTGAAGACCTGGGTAGATAAAGCCTCATTTGGGATGATCCAGTTGGGGCTGGTCCTGCTTGGAGCAGGGGGTTGGACTAGATGTGACCTCCTGAGGTCCCTTTTAGCCCTCATTTTCTATGATTCCATGAAAACTGCACAAGAATTGGGGGATTTCAGGAAGCAAAAGTTTAGGGGAAAAAAAAAGTGTGACAGAAAGGTCCATGCATGTATTCATTTATTTTCGACAGCATGTTTGCTACATCATCATTGAAAAGGATCATGTAATCATTCAGAGGAAAAAATAATCATGTAAAAAGGGCTTAATAATTATTCAACAAGGAAGTTTTCAATGTGTTAAGGACTCTGGAGCCCCTCTTGATCACTTAGGACACCTATACACTTGCCGGATGTCTGCTCCGATGCATGCTAATTAGCACGTGTCGGAGCAGACTCCATTCTGCTGAAGCGTGTTAATTAACGTGCTCCAGCAGCCTCCACGTCATGCCTATTTAGTGTCCCCACACTTCAAAATGGTGGTGAAGGTGCATGAACTGAAGCCTGTCGAATGACCTTTAGTTTAAGCACCCCCACTGCCATTTTGAAGTGTGGGATGCTGAATACACATGACGCAGAAATTAAAGGGCTTTAATTAAAGCAGCTATCAGAGCAGCTTTAGTTAATGCACTCTCTCCCTCCATCCTGGATCATATGTATAGCCACCCATAGGTATAGGTATGAGAATACTGGCTCAGGCCTGAGATATCCTATGTGTCTAACTAGCTACCATATACACCATAACCATCATTATAGGTAGGATACAACATGTGTTGCTGATTACCAGGAGCAAGAGCTGGAGGGATCCATTCACATTCCCCTTTCCAGAACCATTACTTTTCACAGTACACATTGAAGGCACAAATGCAGGCGAATTGAAACAGCCTACTTCAGCACCCTATACACAAGCACCATGGTAAAAGGTATATCAGAATATACTTTCAGGATAATCTTAGGCCTAACTGGAGCCTGTATGTAGGTATCTACATATATCCTGTTATAGCATGTTATTTGCACTAAGTTGTGGCAACAGTGAAAATTCAGGTCCCCTCTCTGACAACAGACAGTGGAATAGGAAGATTCTTTGAAACTATCTTTTTTACTAGGAAAAGGCACGCTCAATTATACGTGTTAATCATGAGAACAAATACTGAATTTCACTTCCCTGTTTCTCTACCTGGGATGGAAAGGTCCCCAGTGCAAGTAGGTGTTATTAATTAGTTAATTACATAGTTGGAAAGTCAGCAATAGTCAAGCTACCAACGTACTGGTTGCTGGGACTGGAATCTAATAAAAAAAGCCCTGAGTGTAATAGACTGTAGCTACTCACCAACAGAGACAAGTGCAGAAAATAGAGAAATAAGGAAAAGTAGCAGTGTACTTGGAGTTAAGGTACTTTTAAAAAATATATCCTGATTGTTAGTTTTTCTAAAACCAAAAACAGAGTATTAAAAAACTCTTTTTCCAGGCAATGTTAAACTTGAACCATTCAAGGCATCTGTGAAGGGCTTGTGACTTATCACTTCTTATGGCCTAACCCTGCACTCCAATTATGGATGACGCCACAAGTGAAGGCATTTTCCATGAAATGTGTCAATCTACCCAATGGGAGTTATTCCTGAGTAAAAAGATTACAGGACTGGGTCAACTAGTTAGGAGTCCTGTGTGGCTGAATGGTTCTCTGACCTTTTCATTTTGCTAAATTTAAAAGCAACAGGGCAAATTCTATACCAACTCGTGAACTAACTAGAACTTGAAACAAGTAATGTGTAACATAATTCAGTGCAATGCCAGAACCACTATATCCAGTGCTCCGTATTTCTGCATAAAATCCCGTACCTTAGAACGTATTGAAAAGCTGGATTTTGAAACATTTACAGCAACAAAGCAAATTAAGTGAATCTTTCCTAAAAGATTAATTGGACTGTTGTGTGTACAGAGAGTTTAAAAAATAACACACTGCTGGACCTGATTTCATCTGCCAGAAATAAGTTTTCAGCTGAGTTATCAGAAGCTTGTTTGACATCTTTGAACAGCCTATATATAGTCCCAGTTAATACTCCATGTCAATAAGCAGCAGTGCTAATATTTGTTCTTAATTCTACATGATGAGAGGAAGATGGGCCTACTAGGAGGGCTACCCAATTTATATGGAGCTACAACCAGCACAGATTAATAAAGGGCTTAATCAGCTATTTAAAATGCTGACTCTCCCCACACAAATAACCTACAGTCATGCCATCTTCCAGAACCTACATATTACATACTCATACTTCATGCTAGTTTCAGGAAATTATGCAAATAGAAACAGAGGAGAAAATCTCCTGTCTGAGAAAAATCAGGTCTCCGAATCAGGTAGAATTTCCTGAGTCACAAGGTCACTTTAATTATCATCGTCTTCCGCCGGTGTTCGCAACCCTTCGCTCTGACGACTCTTCCCTGTCATTTCCAGCAAGGCCTGAGCCTCAGGGTCAGCATCAAGGACACTCTTCTTACCCTTTGTCTGAAAGAAAATCACAAGGGTAATTTAAAAGGTAAATGGTGCCAGGTCACAAGTCAGTGGCCCTCAATCATATACAAGCTGATTGTCTGGTTTTCCAGCCTTCTACAATGAAGGTGCGTGCTGTCCAAGCAAGGTGTCTACAAACAGAACAGATTCACCATGACATGCTAACAGCTCTGCACTGCCCCGGTAATGCAAGCCAGCCATAAAGCTGGCTGAAGGGACCAGGTAAGCATTTATGGTTTATTTGGGTCACAAAGCAGCTGGAACAAACTGTTTAATCTGACCCAACAGTTCAGGTACAGATGGGAACACCAAAAAAGATGATGAAATCACAGCCTGACAAGTCTTTCCTAAAAGATGGGCTCTCTTGCTGTTTGTGAGGCATGCGCCCATTGTATAATAGCAACCATACACCCACTGTTTAATGGAAGAGACACCTACTACAATAATCCTTTCTTTCCTTGATGCCTCCCTGTTCCAAGTGGCACCTACAGTGTCTGTTAACTTCTGAAGTGCAAATATTTTGCTGTCATGGCAATGAGTGCTTTTGGAAATAAATGACAGGATTTTTCACAATACGCTTGACACCTGTTAGCAGCAATGTGTTGGTGGCCTGGGGCTATGTTGCATCTAAAGGGCTGATTCTCTTATACAGAGTAACACCTGAAGACGTGGTATGGAAAATATTTGTGATGAAATATTGCTGCTAACTCACAAGCTTGGGTACTACTAACAGATGTTGCTGCAATTAAGCATCAACCACATTGCTAAAAACCCCAACAGAAACATGTTCAGTATTATCCCATGTGCGTTCTGTACATTTGCATTCATTTTGCCAGAGTTCAATCTGTCTCAGAGCTCAAATCAGAAATGAGACATCCCATGCTAACAAGTTCATAGCAACCATGCTGGCATCACAGCTGCTTGTGCATTAGCAGACACTAGTTACCCCAAAACCTGAATAAAGTACATTCATTGTATATCACTATCCACACGATTGTCTTTCTAGTATTTCTGGCTTGATTTTTACACTATGTTTTTTTTCTATTTTAGCATTTCCTGCTGCTGCTTTCAGACATTATATTGACTTACCTCTTCAGTTTCTGGGACCTCTCCCACTGCCCACACTTCCATGGCATCTAGTGTAAAGTCTTCCTTAGCTGACAGCTGAGGACTGTTGTAGGTGGTACATCTAGATTTTGCTTTGCTGTGTCCCTTCCCATAGTCACAGTCTATCCAGAGTCCAAAGTACTCATGCTGCCCACCCATGCCCTGTAAAGTAAATGAAACACTCACTAAGTATATGTAAAATTAGAAACTGAGCTATAAGTGGTAGCTTGTGAACCATTAGTTTCATCATCCTATGACCAAACTTTCAAATGAAGTGTTTCAAGCAAGTCTGAATTGACGTACAAAAATCAAACACCTGTGGGTGCAATCCAAACGTTATCTGTGCCATATACCCTTTGAACAGGGCTACAGGAAACGGGGTACTTTGCAAACACATCAGTTGTTCCTTGCTTGGGAAATTTAACCCACTGAGTATTCTAACACCTGCTATCCTTTCCCTTTTTCAGTGAGGGGATGCTTATGTGAAGCCTTCTCCTAAAATAAGTGAGTACAGTTTGATGTTGCTTTCACTAAAGCAAGAGTGAAATGAGTGTTTCTGAGCTAACTGCTGACACCACGCTGATGTGTTTCATGGCAGAACATTTCCCTTATTGTTTACAAAAATGTGAACTCCACCATGATGTGGCAGGCCGGTGTAGGGTCCTAGACATGGCTAACTTCTAGCGATGTAGCTGTAGGGTAACAGGCTCTACTATCTCTGGGCACCATTTGTACTGGGAGGCTCTGTGTATGAACCCAACATAAACCATCAGGGAGGGTGACACTGCCATCACACTAAGGATAGGTTGTCTGGACCTTGAATGTCTCAGGTCTGGTGGCTCTAATGCTCTTTAAATGATGTAGAGATGGGCAACCAGCTCTTTCAGCCAACAGCCTGAGCATGACAGCATACAGAGCGCTGGATGTCAGATTTGCACATTATTCTCAACTTGCATGTAGGGTTTTACTCCCCAACTCCTCCAGAAATTTGATCTTCATAAATGATAATCATTTTAGTTAGATATATATCAAGAAAAATTTAAGCTACTCAATTCAGTGTGTTAGCATGAACTCCAACTAAAGTAAATAGGTGAACAGGCACCAATTCTACTACCACTGTCCAGATACTACATAGGATGAAGACACGTTAAGATAAACAGTCCGTCTATGAAAAGTCTCAAGACAATATACCAATGTAGATGTATGGCCTTCCACCACCACTATGGAGCACCCATTTCTAACTGAACTGGTGCGATGTACTGGCAAAGCAAAGGCTAACCAGAGTGAGATATATCAGTATGTGG